CATGCTGTCACAACGGAATTGTGAAGCTCTTCTAACTTCTGCACTACGTTCTGAAATCTTGTTAAGAACACCCAAACTCTTTTGCCGTTTCTTAATCTTGGCAAGTTCATGGAGTAAACTGAGAATTATATGAAACACAATCAAACCATACAACTCCATAAGACATAACAATTAAGCAACTCCCCAGAGACATGCAACATTTTTGGAACAAAACGTAACCAAATAGTAGCGTTGATACGGTGATGTGTATTTGCAAAAAGCAATATTATTTCCTTCAATAAAGAATATTCATCCTGCTCTAACCGAGAAATAATCTACTCAGTCTGTTTGAACCCATTAAAAACATAAAAAAATTAGGCTATTTAAGAATGCGAAAAATTTAAGCGCCTGCCTTCCATGGTCAGTCTTTCATGTACATTTAAGTTTGCAAAGACCTAATATTAAATACTTGCATAATTTCGAACGTTCATATTTCAGGAAACAATGAGCTAAGACTTTCATGTAAGATGTCTAAATCTACGCCATATCCCTTACAAACCTTAACGATAATTCGCTGAAATACAAGTTAGCCTAATATGTCATTAAGCAAACAAGCGCTGGAGTTAATATTTGATATGCCGATTTTCGCTAATTTTAGACACATTCCAAAATATGCTCCCCATTTTTAACATTAATATATCCGTGAATTTTTAAGTTAAATACAACTGTAATATATAAAAATCTAAGTTAGTCCTTCCTCTATTTAATGCAAGTTATTTCTCTTTAAAAACTTTACTTGTTTAGAAGTTATTACGAATCAAACAGGAGTACTTTTTTTTGGGCCACCCGGTATTTTTGTTCCATCAGCTAAAATTGACCTTTCTTTCAGTGATACTGGCTGGATAGCTCTATCGTTTCTGAAACTGTTCTCCCTAGAAGTCCAGTCAGATTCATCATTTATTCATGCAGAGCACCCAGAAAAAACCTGTGGACACCCTGTGGACACTCTTCTCACATATTACAGAAGACAAATTAACCAGATTTTTGATATTTTCTCCACCAAACCACATATGATTCATAAGAACCTGAAATAGGAAATGAAGTTGTGACATAAATGTAGTTGTAGCATTTCCTACTCTTGAAGGGTTTTGTAGATGGAAATTATGGAGTGTAAATTTATATACATTTATTAGATCTAACCAGGAACAGCTGCGAAAAATGCAACAATAGGAATCGAACCTGCTAGGGAAAATCGTTTGGACTCAATAAAATACTCGAACCCTTCCTAACTCTCAGCTCTGGCCTTACACGAGCGATTTAGATATCGATCGAAATCGATTCATGAATGGTTTTTTTTATTTAATCACAGTTTATAAAATAAAATAAAATAAAATAAAATAAAATAAACTAGAGATAAACTGTGATTTAATGCCCAGTGTTATAGTCTATTAGCGAAACAAGGAAACAAAATGTTTTTCACCTTTTAAAGGCAATCTATATTCCGAAACGTCTTTGTCTTACTGTCCGTGCTCATGCACTCGTGTTTATTTTTAAATTTTGAGTGATTTAGCAATTAAAGCTCTCTTCCACTCATTCCATTCATTGAAAACAAGCTCGCCGTGCATGCTAGTATCTAATTCTTGTATAAATCGTCATTTGGATTGGATGAAAGTGCAGCAGCGAGCTTGCGATCAGAGTTGGTTTTTGCATAGTAAATAAAATAAGGTTAGGAAACTCGATGCAAACATCAAAAGACCTCATTATCTTGTTTTTTTGTCTTGGTTTATGCCGTTTATGCAAAAAATGGTTGGTTCATCATCACGTGTATATTGTCTTTTCGCCCTACCAACCAATAGCAGTGTGTTGGTTCCAAATTACCCAGTCGTGATATTACACAATGCCAATAGTTAAACGAAACCATAGCTATTGACTATGGTTCTTGCGGTGAGCAAAGAGTAAGAGGCTTTTGTCCTGGGTGGTTGAGCCTTTATCTTGTTCCCGGTGGGAACAATTCAAATTTATAATTACAGCCTGTATTGTCCCCGAGCCAACGGTGCGAAACGCCGTTCCGGGCGTGAGCCCGGGTCGAGGGTACTAATTCCGCTCGGCTATTTATACCCGGGGAAAGGAAAACATTAGCGAAGTTGAGAGTATAAGCCAAAGATATAGATGCTGCTCAGCATATTGTTCACACAGCTTTCACGAAGAGAACAAGAGCGATAATGAAGTGTTTACATGGAGAACCTGCGGCTTGTTCGACGACGGAAAATGGTACATTTTGCTTCTGTGGTCAAAATCCAAGCTGTAATTTCTTTTGCCCAGAAGACGTTGGCTATCTGTTCGAAAAAGCCATAATTGCTAGCTTGGAGAGCTACGAAACAATCACAGCCGTTATGTAATGGGCACCGTAGGCTTGCGACGATGCGTGTGGTTAAAGATGTGATGAAAGAGAATTATGGAAGACGCTTTTTCGTGTGTTCTGACTTGTAAGAAGAATCCATGTTCCTTTTGGATGTGGGGCGATGTACAACCGCCAGTACTTCCAATGTGTCGTCACGGATTTCTGTGTGTATCCCGAAAGGTGAAAAAGGAAGGCGTCAACAAGCGTCGTATGTTTTTCTGTTGCGCGAACGAAAAGGAAGACTCGTGTCGATTTTTCGAATGGGCTCCCGAAGAGAAACGACATGGTTCGCTGCAATGCAACTCTCAGCATTTTAACGTGTCCTCTATTGGAATATCCATGAATGGTGAACCCATCCCCTTCCAACAGATGCAACTTTCCTTTGGTGCAAACCCCCAATTTATTGAAGCGTTCAGTACGATGTCTTCTGGTACGGGAAAATGTATTACAACAGTGGAAATGATATAATATCACGAGAAGAGATTCCAAACGGATATGCCATTTATGCTTTTGACCTGACCCCTGATGTGTGTGGATCGTCGCCTCATTTTAACGCTGTTCAAAGAGGAAAGGCAGTCAGCATCACGTTCTCTAGGGCACCAACAGTCGCTGTGAGTCTCGTGTGTTACGGGGAATTCGAAAACATAATTCAAATTGACGCAGAAAGAAACGTCATTTACGATTACGCCGGTTAGATCATAAGATCGTACAGTTATTTACTAACAATACTATGTTACATTTAACATAGTTAACTATGTTAAATGATGCAGAGGTGTCTCAGTTTGTTAAGAGTTATTTTAAAGTAATGTTAAATCAACCAAACGTTGTTGGTCTTAATCAGTTTAGTAAAAAGATAGTTCAATAAATGTTGTAAAAATCAAAGTGTGATTTGACCTTCATTGCGCGCATCATCCCATGTGCGAACCGTTCGTATATACGATATATTTAAACTTCGATCAGACATTAATAACGTAGTTTGAAGGGTAGACGAGGTCTTTCTTTCTTTTGTTTCTTGCAACATGCCAGTTTGTGATGACCGTATCTTCATGACCGTATCATCAATACATGCCAATTGGCGATGACCGAATCATCGCTCTGACGATGAATTGAAATTGGCGATGACCAATTGGCGATGACCGAATCATCTAAGAAAATTATTTAAGAAATAGAAAACGAGTCGCGTGCGTTTATGGTGTGATAATGCACGCGGGGAATGTTGGGAGAATACGAGAGAAGCGTGTAAAACACGAGGCGTAGCCGAGTGTTTTACACGCTTCTCGAGTGTTCTCCCAACATTCCCCAAGTGCATTATCACACCATAAACGCACAAGACGAGTTTTTCTATTTCTTTTATAACATAAGAATATATTATACAGTGAACAATTTTATTCAAAGATCAATATTAATATTCTCCTTACATGTAATCGTTGACATCATGTGCGTTTTCAATTGCTTAGCAACAAGAACCTTGCATTCGCGAAACGGCGAAAGGCGCGACAAACAAGCAAGTCAACTATATTTTTTGGGTGTTTATCAGTTAAAAACTGTTCGAATATTTTTAGAAACAGTCCACAATATAAAACAATATCCAAATATAACATATACAAGTTCAAAAGCTAATCGCTGTTGGATTTATACACGATCTGGACACTGCCGATCGAGCAAGAACTAAACATGCTGCCAGCCACAGCAAAGTTCTGCAAGTGTGTGCTTGTCGTTGAACTAGTCGAAGTTGATGCAACAGAAATGTGCTGTTGGGTTGGTGACTGAGCTTGAGATGAACCAGAAGGGGCAGAGGAAGTATGATCATCAGTAATTAACGAACGAGACAAGACATCGCTGCAGTTGCGAAGCTGTAAAGACGATGGTCGTGCATTGTAATGAACAAGACTTTGCTCATTTCGATGGCCAGAAATTGCCATAATATGACGATTAGGAATGCCTGCATTTGACCAAACGGTAATGGCTGTTGCTCGAACACTATGATTTGTGTAATTCTTCGACAGACCGGCAGCTTGGCTAATTTCGGTCATCATTTTGCCCAATCTGTTGACTCCGAGTGGTCGATTTTCGAACCAAACCGGGTTTGTTGATTGCTAATTTCGTGCAGGATACTGGAAAAGAGCACGACAGTTGGGGTTGACTTTCTCGAGATAAAGAGCCAAAGCTTTATACCCATCAACTGGCTGATCGGTTTCGTACATTCTCGCTTTTTTCTCCATGCTGGACACGTCAGTTAATCCACCAGGGTGATTTTTCGAGGACTCGTCGTGTGTCATCCTCACGTAGCGTCGACCAGAACTATCAACTTCAAATGCGAAGCTGTTCACGGTGAGGTTACGTTGTCCTTCTCGACCTCGTCTACACCAATACAAGAGAACGTGAAACCACACACTACGCAGAAGCGACAAAGGATTGATGGGGTCGAAAACGCCGCTTGTTTTCAGCTTGGCGAGGTCTTCTTTCTCCAACGGTGGTTTGTGCTGGACATTTTCCTTTCCGTGTTGCTTCAGTTGTTTTATCTTCGCGTCAAGCATCTGGTTGGACCGTGTAAACAAGGAGTTAGAGGCAATTCTAATCGCTCTGTTTAGTGGTGGATTATTTAGATATCTTTCAATACCATGTCTGAACCCGTTCAATGCCGACTTGCTGTAGTCTCGCTTATCCTTCGTCCTGGCTTCAGCGTAGAAGCGAAAAAGATTTTCGTCGAGCTGTCTTGTTGTCATTTGTTTCAGTTCAGGTATTATGTTTTTCGTGTGGCACCAATCTAAAAAGATTAGGCTATTTTCATTGAAAGGTACTGTTTAAAAAAATTATGTTGCCAAGTTTTTTAGTCATGAAATTCATAAAAAAATGACATATTCGTGTAGCTTTATATTATATCGTCGACATTGTAAAACTTCACTATTATAACGACAAATGCCAAAGTGAAACTGGTGTGTTTTTACTTGTATATTAACTACAAACTTAGTCAGTTAATGTAGTTTCTGTGTATTGCAAGTATTTGAACGCACAAATATTAAATTTACGTACCTTTAAATGTAGAAACAGCCCAGTTCGTAGCAGTTTTTGTCGCCTTTGAATGACGACTTTCGAGTAGAAAATTTAGCTCAGTGTCCGAAACAGCTGCAAATCTTTCCTTGCCTTCTTCAGTGCGTTTGTTTTCGTTGGCCGGCTCATGCATTTTAGTTTTTAACCTCAATATTTTGTTGTTTTTTTTCTGCTAAATTTTGTGTTTCAAAACTACATTTATTTACTTTTGCCGCAAGCGGGGAAAGAGCGGGAAAATTCAAGAACTGAGAGCGTGCATTATTGCGTCACAATGCACGCTGATTAGCCAATCAAATTGTCTGTTATCTCTCACTTATATTATATAGCAATTTATAGCGTATACCAAGGGACTAGCTATTCTTAAATCTTTCTGTTCTAAATTTAAAATTATAATACATATTGGCATTGGATCTGGTTGCTCTTTGTCTTGTATCTCTAACACGGTCGGGAAGTAGGTTGTGTAGACGGTGCTCAGGCGAAGATAGATTTGCAAGTCTCCACAATGATTGTCGCGTCTTTCACTCAGCGTTTGCATCTTGAGGTGATTTAACGCTACAAAATACTCCACACCAGGTAATATTATTCTGAATGCTCTTTTCTGTCCTCTTTCAATGTTGACACTTTGAGCATTGGTTTGTCCCCCATGCCACAACACATCTCCATATTCCAGAGTTCATCTAATTATACAACGATAAAATTGTAGCAAATACTGCGTTGGCGCCCCATACCTTTTGAGCAATTTGAGAAAGTACAACCGCTTTCTTGCTTTCTTTACGATGTACTCAGTGTTACTAACCCATTTTAGATTGTCGTCCAGCCATGTTCCCAACAGTTTAAAAGAAGTGACCCTTTCAACTTCTGAGTCGTATAACTTAGTACTTCTAATTGTAGTTTTCCTAACGCGAAAGTCAAAAATCATTTCTTTTGTTTTTTTGCACATTCAGTACCATTGAAATGCTATCGTATCATTTCTTTTTTTTTTTTTTCCCATTCATAACCATTGAAACGCTATTGTAGAAATAAGTAGAAATAAGTGTTTTTATGGCGTAGTTTGGCAATAATATAGAAAACGAAAAATGTTGAATAACTTAACTTCCTAAACTTTGCAGTTTAGACTGATCAACGTCAATCTACCGGATTTAGCGCGAGTTGACGTTACAACACTTGCTGACAATATGGAGGCTCGCCAAAAATTAGCGACACATTGTTGGCTTAGTTAGACATCTACATATATCTAACCTGTGCTATAACGTTCAAGATTGCTTCACTCACGGCTATTTGTCACCAAAGCGAATCTTGATACGTTTCTCAGCCATTTTGCCTTTGATGCCTTTCCGATAAAATTCCAGCGTAGGTCTTTTATCTTCGCTACTGCTTCGCACACTGACCGACCATTCCTGCCCGTCAACTATCTTTGAATGCACCAAACTAAAATCTCTCGGCGGTTTCTCTCCTCGTTGAATCTTCTGCAGAGACGATTCAAAGCTATCCCAACCACTGCCTTGGGCTGTAAAAGAGAAAAAACATATATGTGAAATTTGAAACACGAATGTGGACAGCACAACATTGTTCAATGTGGACAGCACAACATTGTTCAATGTGGACAGCACAACATTGTTCAATGTGGACAGCACAACATTGTTCAATGTGGACAGCACAACATTGTTCAATGTCGACAGCACAACATTGTTCAATGTGAGCAGCACAACATTGTTCAATGTGAGCAGCACAACATTGTTTAATGTGGACAGCACAACATTGTTCAATGTGGACAGCACAACATTGTTCAATGTGGACAGCACAACATTGTTCAATGTGAACAGCACAACATTGTTCAATGTGAACAGCACAACATTGTTCAATGTGGACACAGCACAACATTGTTCAATGTGAACAGCACAACATTGTTCAATGTGGACAGCACAACATTGTTCAATGTGGACAGCACAACATTGTTCAATGTGAACAGCACAACAGATTGTTCAATGTGAACAGCACAACATTGTTCAATGTGAACAGCACAACATTGTTTAATGTGGACAGCACAACATTGTTCAATGTGGACAACACAACATTGTTCAATGTGGACAGCACAACATTGTTCAATGTGAACAGCACAACATTGTTCAATGTGAACAGCACAACATTGTTCAATGTGGACAGCACAACATTGTTCAATGTGAACAGCACAACATTGTTCAATGTGGACAGCACAACATTGCTCAATGTGGACAACACTACATTGTTCAATGTGAACAGCACAACATTGTTCAATGTGAACAGCACAACATTGTTCAATGTGGACAGCACAACATTGTTCAATGTGAACAGCACAACATTGTTCAATGTGGACAGCACAACATTGCTCAATGTGGACAACACTACATTGTTCAATGTGAACAGCACAACATTGTTCAATGTGAACAGCACAACATTGTTCAATGTGGACAACACAAAATTGTTCAATGTGAACAGCACAACATTGTTCAATGTGGACAGCACAACATTGTTCAATGTGGACAGCACAACATTGTTCAATGTGGACAGCACAACATTGCTCAATGTGGACAACACTACATTGTTCAATGTGAACAGCACAACATTGTTCAATGTGAACAGCACAACATTGTTCAATGTGGACAACACAAAATTGTTCAATGTGAACAGCACAACATTGTTCAATGTGGACAGCACAACATTGTTCAATGTGGACAGCACAACATTGTTCAATGTGAACAGCACAACATTGTTCAATGTGGACAGCACAACATTGTTCAATGTGGACAGCACAACATTGCTCAATGTGGACAACACAACATTGCTCAATGTGGTCAGTACAACAGCACAATGTCCACATTTAATACAAAACATCTTCGATGCTGTTGATAACTTACGATTTTCCGTCATTAGTAAAAATATATACAAATAAAATCATTACCAGTTGTTTTCCCGGCTCTAACTTTGGCGTCTTTTCCAATTGTAAAATTGAAATCTGACAACGCAGTTTCCCAGTCTGACTTGCCAGGGGACAATGGCTTCACATACTGCCTGGCTTTCGGAGACTTTTTATCCATTCTTATTTGAGTTCCCATCTTGACACCACATGCCTTCTCGAGTACTTTCGTCACTTTCTCCCAACTGTCACCACCACTTCGACCCCCACCTCCAGTACCTGCACCTCCACCGCTTCCTCCACCTCCACCGCTCCTTCCACCTCCACCCATTCCTCCACCTCCACCGCTTCCTCCACCTCCACCCCTACTACCCCCACCTCCCCCGCTTCCCCCACCTCCACCTCTACTGCCGCCACCTCTACCGTGTCCCCCACCGCCAGCACCAGTACCACCTGCACTAGGACCGCCAAAGCCACCGCCTCCCCCACCTGGAATAAAAAGGTGCAATTAATGTTTTAGCATTGAAAGGGCTTAAAAGGGTTAGGTTAGCCCTAGGTTTAGGGCTAGTTCGAACCGTCTCTCGTCGTATATGAGTTATAGCTATTAGTTCGTATACGATTCGAGCCCGTGGTATAATATTTAACGTAATATATCCAACAAGAGTCAGAGTCTTACTTCGATTTCTGAGCCACAGTCAAGCAGATTGAAAACGCGAGGCAATGCCGCGTTTTCTGACCAGCTTGACTGAATCTAGACATTGGAGGACGGACTGTAAGGACTGTTCGATATAGTTTCTCAAACGAATCAGGATTTTGGGAGAAAATCAATCTCCATAATGTAACCGCATAATGATTTGAGAAATATTTTTCGTACACCACGTAAATGGCTGTTTCATGAACGTGCACCTTGACATTATCGTCTGTTTCTGTGTAAATAAACAAAATTTCCCAACGTATTACAGTAATAACAATTACCTTTTCCAGAGGCCTGGGCATTGCGAGTATTTGCAGAATTTTGCTGCATTCCAGTCGACGGTTTTGTTGCATTGACTATGGGAGGATTGAATGCCTGCGGAGGTTGTTGTTTTTTCGGTGCGTAATTTGACAGCAGGCCGGGAGTCAGTGATACTTTCCTGAATCCCGAGAAGAACCCAGGTGTGGAAAGATTCGTCTTCACAGCTTTTGGTGTCAGCGACACGCCGCCATAGTGAAATCGAGTAAACTCGTCTTCATCTTGGCAGTGATTGACAGCGGGAATCCACTTGCATTTGTTGCTGGCCAAGAGAAATTTCTTTGAGCTTTTTCTCAGATCCGCTATCGCATTCGTGCATTTTCGCAGACTTTCCTTTTGCTGCTCGACAATTCTTCTTCGGATTTCATTCAGACTTGGAGCATTTTCACGGGCAATTTTCTTTGCGATATCACACGAATTGCCAGTGTATAGCCAGTGGGAAATCTCGCTATACGATGCCGAAATATCGCCCTGCCGATGAACTTGGCTTACTACGTTGTCATTAATATAAGAAACCTGTCGTCTTATAGAATTTCTCGCCTTATCGAGATTACTGGCAATGCTAACTTCTGCTTCCTGGAGTGCCGAAGCTTGGATGCGTCGAATTTCCGAATCCAGTTTGCCACTTTCAACCTGTTTCTTGTGATCTTCCACGCCATCTATAAAGCTGTCGAGAAATTGCCCCAACCACTGAACCTTGCAAAGTTCTTTGAGGCGAAGAAATGCGGGAAAATGTTTGCCAATTTTCTCGTAATTCTTCGTAAAATCTTCAACGAAACGACCTTCCGGGCTATCAGGATCGAGGCCATCGATGTCAAGATCTTTCAGTTCCCCGTCCTCACCATGGAACATGGGCATGCAGCGGACGGTAATTTTGACTTCTCCAAACAGCCAGCGTACTGTGTCGCCTGTCTCCTGAACATCGAACTGCATTGTATCCGCTTGGATCCACAATCGATGAACGCGATTGCGGGAGGCACCACGGCTGGGAATCGAGCACAGCGCTTCTTTCAAATCGTCGGGAAGATCTTTGAGAAGACCTTCTGAGACGGGTCGCAGTTGAAAGGGCGGATGAGATTGAATTTCGTGCCCCATGCTGAACTGTTTGAGCAAATAATCTGTGTGCAACATCGTAAACAGCATTTCCGTTCCTTCCAGCTGTTCTGGGAAATAGATCAACTTGTTGAAGGGGTGATATGGCGTTTCTTGTGGATTGACGGCTTCCAAACTGAAGAACGACCCTGCCTGACTGAGGGATAACCCACCAGCGATGTCCCCCCAGCTGAGGAGCGCCGGTTGTCGATTGAAGGCGTTCAGCCGAGATGATTGCTCTACAAGAACTTTGATGCCAAAGTCTTTCTTGTTGATTTCCAAACCAACAAGCCGCTGGATGTTGCTGGACGCGACGGCATCCATGAGCTTTCCGTTGACGATTTGCCAGCCATTTCTGTCTAGCGCAATCATGTTTGAGACGAGGCGACGTTGAACGTCGTCCCATGACCATTTCTTCTCGGCCAGCAGTGCGGTCATGGAAGTCAAACGCAGCCCGCCATCAGTTGGATCCACGATTTCACCTGAAAATGGTAATATGTTGATCTATTGACGCTGGTAGACTCAAATTGAAACGCCAGTCCAAAACATCAAGCATGCATATGGTAATATATTTAAAGTAAGTAAAGTAAAGTAAAGTGGGGAGGTGCTCATCATCCTTACTTACACCTGGGCGAGTTGAATTGCGAGGTACGCAGATCATGAGGTCTAGTCGGACCCAATGTTACGGAGCACAGCTACGATGGAAGGGTTGGCCAAGTATCTATCTTGATCCTCTACCAATCCTGTCAACATTTCACGTGGGAGACAACCGGAGTACCCGGAAAAAACCCACGATTTTGGCAGAGCATTGACTAACTCTTCTCACATGAATGTAGCGAGTTCGAACCGAGATTCGAACCCACAATATCTCAGCGATGAAAGACGCTTGCCATGACGATTACGCCACCAAAGCAATTTTATGCAGCAATTCAGCGTAGGTCGCGGATAGGATAACAAACTGTGAAGGTTTTCGGCAGCCTGCAACAGAGAACTAATTCCCAACGACGGGCCTTAGTTCGAAACGTCGAGAACTTTGTTTTCTCTTGCAGGCCGCCGCGCGAATCTCAAAACCTTCACAGTTTGTTAGCTGACAATATGATAGGACGTAATAACTGTAATATATCGAGAAAGTTCGAAAATTCGTGGTCGCAATTCAAGTGATGTAAATAATGCTGTCAATACTGCTCTTAAATTAAATTAACAATCATTACCTCGTTTAAACCAGCAGTTTTCATAAATCTGATAGCGCATTATGGCTTCAGACATTGGGCGCAGCTCGGCCGGAATGGCATCTTGAAGCTTCAGGAGATACTCGCAATGCAGCTTAGTGGAAATGATACTCATAAGCACAGCTTCCGTGGGTGTTACCGTGGGCATTTTGTGCAAGGGGCAATGGCGACCGGTAGCCACAAGCCACTTCATGTGCACGCCAATGAAATTTGCTGTCTCCTGACCCTCGTGCCCAGTCTTCAAAGACGAGAAGAACTGCAGTGCAATCACCAGCTTCGCAACGTAATATCGCATGTACGGATGTGTAGAGAACTCGAAGGCGAGCGCTGCTGCCAGATTTGTCAGTTTCGTGATCATCTTCTTGCACGCGAACAGGCACGAGTCGTTGGAATCCGAGCATGAAATTTGACGCGTAAACCACTGGGCAGACGTTATAATGGTGAATAACAGTTGAGCTGGGTGTTGACATGCGGTTAGCAAGTCGTGGTAGGCAAAGGCGGCGTCTAGTGGCATCCACTTCTTCTTTTCAACAAGCTTCTTCACTGCCGTTTCGTATTTCAGGAACATCTTCATGTCGCAGCCCTCTACAGTGAGGTTCCCCCATTTGCGGTCGTCTATATCAGGTGGATTGATGAGGTCCTCTTCAGTTAATTGAAGGGTTGATAGGAAATTGGAAACGTTTATTCCAGCGACGTTTTTGAGAGGCAAACTTGCTTCCTTCAGAATCAACTGCGAAGTGAACTGCACTACATAGTCCACGATAGGTATGCTGCGGTCTTGGGACTGGAAGAGTTCATAGCCACTCCAAAACACATCGGCGACTTCATTGATGGCAGCCGTCGAATTGCCTTGTTCGTGCTGGGCAATAGCCTTGAAGAGACGCAACAGTAGGCGACTGTATTCGTTGTAGTTTTCATTCGATTCCTTCAACAATTTCTGCCAGCACAAATGCATAACTTTATCGTTGTCTTCATCTTCGTCTTGTGTCACGAGAAGCGCCTTCAAAAACGAGCCCTCTTTAATTGCTTGGGTCAGCTGCGACAATACCATGGCCGCTTTTTTCTTGATAATTTCATCGCGCTTGGAAAGGAGAGCCAACCTCATCCGGATTGCCTTAAGTTTTAAATTATAAATTCTCTCATCGACAAGAGTATTAAAGCGTTCGATCCAGTCAATGGCGTCTTTGTACAATTCGACTTTGCTCATCAAATCCGTTTCTGGCATGGCGCCGACAACTTTCAATAGACTTTCAGCGACAAAATATAAAAGAACCGTGCGATTGTCTTTCGTCAATGCAGATTCGTCAAGCAGAATTTCTTTCCCAAATTCAACCAACGTTGTATATTTCTTCTGCGCATATAGCACCTTGGCTTGGTGGATTATGGCCACGTCTGATGGACGTACTGCGTTTGAAATCCTGTACATGGCAAGTACGGTTTCCGTCCTCCTCTGGTCAGATTTGAGCAAAGCAATTCCACGTTCCAACCAGCTCTGAGATTCGTAGATCTTCAATATTCTAAAGCATTCTGAACAAATTGTCCTCAAGTCGAACGAACCAGAAGACGGAATTTTCCATTTCATTCCCATCAGGCAGTTACTGCAACAGATTTTATTGCAAGAAAAACAGACCGTCGAGGTTGCTTTGCTGAAGTAGGACTGCATCAAGGAAAGGCTATTCGAACACCATCCACATTCCCTACTAAGATTCAGCGATTGATTGTCCAAATTGGGTAACAAAACCACCATGGGACAATAGCGGTTAGCCATGTTCTTTAACACTTCACGATTGGCAGTGGTCTCGTATGGCAATCTCAAGTAATCCAGAATTAATCTCAATTCCTTGTCCGATAAGGTTGATAAGTCGTACATTGGAAACTTGTTTGTCGAAGGCAAGTTTGTCGTCTCGCGGCGCCGTGTTGGTCGCAGTTGGCATGCCTCTAGAAGATTCGATACTTCTAAAGCAGTTGGCATGGAGAACGCTCCCGTTTCTTCATTTGTTTCATCTCTCATTGAAAGATAACACTGCTTCAGGACGTCATTCACAAATCTGGGAAGAGGCAAATCTTCATTACCTGCAGCCTGCTGTCTACGATTTGGAGCTTTTTCGAGTGGATACAACTTCGGGAATTCATTTTTCACAAATTCTGCCAGAACTCGTTCAAGGCATTTGATAAATTCGGCCTTCTCGCGGCGTTTGTTTTGCTGTGAATGCCTTCGAGCTTGGTATTCGCGTTGGGCCGCGTGAAATTCTTCGACAAGGGGACTTTTGTGTCCGAAACCCTTCAAACACCTGCGTGCATGTCTTCCGCTGTTTCTCGAGCAAATACTGCAGAACAGCGGCAGCGCTTTCTCGTTTCTAACGCCAGTGTCAATCAAATCTTCGTCATGCTTACGCCGTTTTTCAGCATCCAACAGGATAATTTTTGCGTGCGTCAGCTTTTGGTAGTCACGCGTCGCTCTTTCACGGTCGTCCAGGTTCTTGTCCGGGTGTTTTTCTTTCGATAAACGACGAAAGGCTTGCATGATGGCTTCATTTGATGCATCTTGCTCTACGCCTAGAAGCTGTATTGTGAAAAGCAATTGATAGGAAAGGTCATGAGACAGAAACCTCCAGCGGTCATATTCTTATAGAAGCCCAGGAGGCTCAGATCAACTTTTTAGTTTTGTGTTTCAACTTTTTATTTTTGTGTTTCAACTTTTTATTTTTGTGTTTCAACTTTTTATATTTGTGTTTCAACTTTTTAAATTTATTTTGTTTTTCTTTCAAAATTTTGTTGAAAATCATTTTGCAATTTGCACAAAATTAATTACTTTTTTGAAAAGGAACGGGGAAAGGTAATTAATCACAAAATAAAGGAACGCATTCCTTTTATACTTATGTACCATTATATACTTATATACCATTACAATTCCTTTTATACTGAAATCTTCCATAAATGGAATGAATGCTATATATACCAGTCATCAGAGTCATCATCTCTGCGCCGTGCCTGTTATGGCCATTTTATCTCAGTGCACGCTTTCACATTTCGGAATTCAGATTAACAGTTTTCTTCATGAATGAGCAAATTTTGGAAAAGAGGTAATTTTAATCGGGAATTAATACTTTTTTGAGCGGGTAATTTTGTAATTGTAACTAATTACTTTTGAAAAGAAGCAATTTTAATCGGGAATTAATTACCTTTTGAAGCAAGTAATTGTAATTAATTCCTTTTTGAGCAGTAATTTAACAGTTCTGCATGCTAATTCAGTAAAACTGGCAAATATAATTGAAGAAATGTATATTTTGTGGAGTGAAAAGCCTTTTTATGAACCTGTTTACCAAATATTATAGACATGTATGATAGGATTAAAGAAATGATGAGAAAATTGAAATCGAACGCCACGATTTCGCAATACTTGTAGTTGGAGGTTAGCGACTTGAAGTTAAAATTAAGGCTTTTCACACCTCAAAATATACATTTCTTCAATTATTTGCCATAGTTTTACTGAATTATAGATACCGTCAGAATTTCAGAAACATCCTCTGGTAAAACCGCCATATTGTTTAGCCCCGCAATACATCATGGTCTATGCTCACCAAAAAATTTATTCCAAAAAATAAATTTTTCAAAAAAATTTTGTGCAAATTGCAAAATAATTTTCAACAAAATTTTGAAAGAAAAACAAAATAATCCAAAAAGTTGAAACTCAAAAACAAACTTGTTGAAACACAAAAATTAAAGGTTGAAACACAAAAATTAAAACTTGCATTGAAACACAAAAATAAAAAGTTGAAACACAAAAATTAAAAGTGGAAACACAAAAATAAAAAGTTGATTTGAGCCTTCTGGGCTTCTATATATTCTCGCACCTTATGGTTTATTTTGTTTGTCCTTTGTGATGTTACTTGTGCACCGACTGACCTTTTGCTTATAAATATACTGTGTGAAAATCCGTAAACTGCCTATGTGTAGTGCTAAGAACGGAGTAATGAATTGAATAGGTCGAACAGAAGATTGGAATGTAATGCAAAACCCTTGGAATTAAATATATATGCACAGTATGTATATTCGGTTCAACTCATTCAAGATCAATGGGGAATTTATTAATCAAATTCTTCACGCAAAAATGGACAGGGACTATTAATGCCCCTTTTTCCACGAAGACAAACTGCTTACCGTTTGAAGGGATGGAAAAAACATCTTAACAGGGACAACTAGGAGTCTATCTCTATCTCTCTCTCTTTCTATCTCTTTCTATCTCTGACATACAGTGAGAAATCAAAGCACGATACCTGATAATAGTTTAAGCCTTCGTCTGACTCTTCTACATTAGCAGAAGCCATTTGTCCCAAATCAAAGATTCTGTTCAATATACTGTACCAGATGCTGGAAATATTGAAGCAGAATATCAACAACTGCCAGATTATCTAGCTACTTGTAAGAAGGAAAAATATAAATGCATGTAAATTCTACTTAGCTATTTCCCCAGTTCCTTCTCAATTATGCCTATGTAAAGCTAGTTATTTTACATTTATTTATCTGTTTGCAATGCATCATAAATCATGATATGAAATCAGGTGGATCTACAACACTGTTTTTTACAGTTTAACGAAGTCAAGAAAGCTAACTCACGACAGAACAATTAGGGACTTTTAATGTTTAAAAATACTTTTGTAAATCTCGCTGTTTAAAGATTAATTAAAGAGAACAAGATCCTGGCCTTGCAGGATTAACTCGTGCCTGGCAGTAGAACTGGTATACGGGAATAAGTTTGCAAAAGACAGAATGAAATTTGCGACAGTCTAGTTACACCGCATTTTTAATATAATTCCATTAAAACCATAACAAATTTGACAATAATTTTGAAAGATCAAGATTATACATATCATTAATTTATACTCCAGCACTCTTCAATATGCTGTCATATCATGATACATCCTATGGCACTATGTTACATTTTATAACGTACGTAAACGAAGAATGCGTTAATTCTACCTTAATTTTTAATTCTAAATTTTAATAAAATAATTTGCATTTACAATTACAATATTTGCAATTATGTTCGTATTTTACGTAAAGTACGCATCAAGTTTAAACCACAGTTAAACGTTTATCCTGTTGTCATACCGCAGAAGAACGACTGGTGTTATATTACGTACCTTCCGAATTAAAACCACTCTTTAGTTAGTAAGTCGAAAGCTGGAAGGTACAAATATTCGTCGGTTCACAACTAGACGCATTATAACTGTAATAAATTGAACTATACTCGAATAATTGAACTCAACTCGTTTTTAAATCAAAAATAAACTTTTAAAAATTATATATCACTTCTTAACTCGCTCTACTCAGAACTTCCACACAAGACATTAATATTCCATGTGCTCGCAGAATTGCGTGACACACGCGTGGTGTCCACGCAATAATTACGTCATTAATTATAACATATTCCCCACCTTGACTGGTGAGAACCATTCAACGATATAAATAAGTAATTAAATCTAATCAGTTTTCCTTAAGTCCATGTTTAACAAACGTAATTGGAAAGTTTTCAGGATGCTCCTGTTCCAATTTAAGTTCTAAAGGATACAACTTTTGAATAGGCCGATCCAACGTAGTCACCTTTCCGTCTTTACCGATAGTACGCACCACGACTGCTCGAGTATTTCCATCGCGACCCGTTAACAACTTTTCGATCTGTCCAATATTCCAGTTTAAACGTTTCACGTTGTCTTCTGCAATGACAACAACATCACCTTTGTTAACACTTGGACGCTTCGCGAGGACGATGATATTCACGCAATTGAGTTAAGTATTCTTGTTTCCACCTTTTCCAGAAGTGCGTTAAAACAGTTTTTAAA